GTAGGTATGCTTATGAACAACTGAAGTATACCTTGTATATCCCTGTAGCCCCTGCTTCTGAATGGTCAGCCATGGATCACGGGTAAAGACATAACTTTGTCAGTGAATACTTATTTTAGTCTACTTGTTCATGTATGTTTTTGTAAACATGGTTTTGAACGTTATAGATCTGCAACATCTTTCTAAAAACATTTTAACTGGTTTATAGAATCCTAGGTGACTTATTTAATCTTATAATTTTGTTCTGAAATACTTAACATTTTTTATCATTGCAATTTTATAAATCTGAGAAAATTGTTAAAAATATGAATTTTTATTTCATTAGTTCTACACAAGTACAAACAATTACAACTACAATTACTTTGGAAAATCAATTAACATATATATATATATGTATATCCCATCATCATGGTAGTTTTGGTTCTTATCTGTGTATTCATATATATATTCATATATAATATGTATATAAGAATGTTCATAGTAGCACTATTTGTAATACCTCAGTACTAAAACCCTTCATAACTACTGTCAATATTGAAATAAGAAATAAATTGTAACATAACTGCACAGTATAATAGTACACAGGAATGAGGAATAACAGTGTACTGTTAAATTCTCAATGCTGATGGATTTCAGAGACAAAAGCCAATATAAACAGGATATTTCCATTTCCCTGATATTCCAAAATTGGCAAAAATAGTATGTGGCAACCAAAGTCAGAATGAAACTTTTAGGGAGGGAGACTATATACTAGGAGGGAGGTGTGAACGGACCCTTCAGGGTTGTTCATAATGTTCTATATAGTGATTAGAGTGACAGTTACAAGGTTGTATATATAAGTAGCAATTACATGGACCCTATAGTTGACTTTTCTCACTTTACTATGGATATACTTTAATAACAATGTTATAAAATTATAAGTATAAAATTTAAAAATTAAAATATATACTTTAGAAGAACTATTTATTGTATAACTAAACACTTGAGGTTTTGGAACAATAGATTAGAAGGTATCTTCAAGGATAAGAATAATGAGAGAATTGGCTGTTGTTGGATTAGGATGTGAAATAATTACTTGGTATTGTATGTGTTGCTATAAATGGAATTGTGAAGAAAGAAAAAATGCTAAATTTATGATCCAGGAAAATGGTGCCATCAGAAAGAAAACTATTGGTCTGCAAAGACATAAACTCACATGTTGAAACCTTTATTCTCTAAAAATGAGCATAATAAATTAGTTCACTGGCAAATCAATGTTTATCTCTCTTTTACTTCCAAACTCTAAGAGGTCTTTGGAAAATTAGCCAGTGACTTACTCAGTGTGTCATTTCCAAAAATAGATTGTAAACTTGTAAGAAAGCTTAGAATGTCTTCTTCCATAGGGTAGAATCAAATGCATCTAAGTACAGATTCAGTGGATAGAATTAGAAAATGGGTCTTGACTTTCCAGAAGAGCCAAAAAGAAACATCACGCTAGTGGCTAGAGAGCAGGGGGAGATGCAAAATACCCGACTAATCCACAAATTGAGTAACTAGTCAGTGAATCGTGCAGCATTTATTTGGTGATTCTACTTAATAAATATATACTAGGTGGTTGGTTGTTTCCTGCACATTTAACTTCTGCTTTAGAAATCTTTACATCTAAAATTTTCGTTAGCATTTTGTTGTTATAACTACAAAGGAAGGGAATCAGTTAGGTTTGGTACTCCTTTTTCACGATTTCCCTGAAATTGAGTTATATGTAAGAAGAAGATTCAGATGAGTGTTATCTTTTGTGGTTTGTTTTTTAGCTAACAATTTGAAAAATAATTTAATCTCTTTATGTTTTATCTGTCCATTTGTTTTGTATAAGATAACACAGGATATTAAGGAAATAGTGGAGGAAATGAGATTTGGGAAGTTACTTGGCAGAAGTGGGCTCTCCATATTAAACCACATAGGTGGTACAAGATAGTGCTTAAGAAGGTGGAACCTGGAGCCACACTGCTTGGATTCATATCCTGGCTCTGACACTAAATGGATGTGTGACCTTCAGCAAATCATTTCATCTGGAGCATCTGGACTGTAGTAGCTCTAACTTCACTGGGTTTTTGTAGTGATTATTAGAATAGATAAAGACCTTTATTATAAAATCAAATAATGTTATCTCAATACATTATTGTCACGAATTAATAATACATATGCAAATGGTGTCAACATGAGCCTTTTATTTCTTCATGGTTATTGTTAACCTTATAATCTATATTATATCTTTTACTCATGACAATTAATGTCCTCTATTGAGATAATACCAAAATATTAAGAAATAGATATCCATATTTTGTAGAAACATACTTGATATTCAAATATTTTGGCAATATCATTAAATGTTTAGATATTGTACTCACAATTTCATGGTTTTCTGATCATTTAATTTTAATCAGCCTATAATGGTTCCTACTGAATTTTAAATACTCAAAACATAATGTGAACATTGTAGACAGGCATATATCTAATACCAGAATTTTAGAGAAAATTCTGAAAGGGAAAATATAGCTTAGGTAGACTTGTATGTAATCAGATGGACTCAACATTGTTTTCTGACTACCAAGATACTTGAAAGGGTGAAGAACAAAATTATACCCTGCATATGTTCTATATGACAAAACTGGCTAGACTGGCAAAAGGCTATGTTCAAAGAATATAAAAGAGAAGATTGTATATGGTTTAAATTCAAAGAATTTAAATGCCTCTACATGTTTTTCTCTGTTCTATATGAAATAAAGAAAGATGGAGATTTGTGATAATGTTTTAATTAGAAAAGCATTTTAAGAGCAAGTAGTATTTACTTAAGCTTATATTGCATGTTACTATAATTTTTTAAATGAAAAGTGAATTTGGAAATTCCAGTTTACAGCGTATTAATGTTGTTACACATGTATTTTATTAGCATTTGACATATATTTTTGAGATATGTTTTTATGAATTCAGCAAAGTATATTTGAGTATATATATATATATTTAAAAATTTATTTATTTATTTGAAAGAGTTACAGAGAGGCAGAGAGAGAGAATCTTCCATCCACTGATTCTCTCCCCAAATGGCCACAACAGGCAGAGCTGGGCTGATCTGAAGCCAGGAGATTCTTCCAGGTCTCCCACACTGGTGCAGGGGCCCAAGAAATTGGGCCATCTTCCACTGCTTTCCCAGGCAGTGGGATCCACTTCTGGATCAGAAGTGGAGCAGCTGGGATTTGAACCGGCACCCATATGGGATGCCAGAACTGCAGGCGGTGGTTTTACCCCCTATGCCACAGCGCCGGCCCCTGCGTATATATTTTTAATAAAAATGAATTTGGAAATGCAACCTATTATGAAATCCTCACCTGCTTCTCATTGTCTTGGATCTTTCAGTAATTTTCCATACTGAATATTGTTTTCTTCTGTGACTCAGTACATAATAGTTATTATTTTGGCCAATGTGATTTCAGTATGTTATATGTCAATTAAGATATATAATTACTGCGTTCAACTTGACTTTGTTTAGAACCAGCCTATGGCTCTGCTCCTTTAATAGTTTGCACTTTTTTTAACTTTTATTTAATGAATATAAATTTCCAAATTACAGAATATTGATTACAATGACTCCCCCCCCATAACGTCCCTCCAACCCGCAACCCTCCCCTTATCCACTCCCTCTCCCTTTTAAGTGAATAATCAAACCATTGATTGGGTAAATGTGGCTGATCTTGTAGGCTAAAGAAGTATCATTGTCTCTGTTTACTTTTTTCAAAACTGTGTAGGATACATATGCCTTAGGGTTTACTAAATTATCTTTTTTTTTTTTGTAGTAGGACACATTTTTCATGTCTGACTTGATTTCTGATTTAACAGTGAATTATTGTGGTCCATTGAATGACAAGAGATGGTAGAGGGAGATACTGTTTTCAAGGAATGTAAATGATCCAGGTAGATGATAGTTTTTGTTTGGTGAGAAGGTATCCTATGCACCGACTTCCACATTCTTCAAGTTCTTATTTCCAGTTAGTTGGAACAACATGAGATAAGGAACTAGGAAACTTGTATTATGGTGATGGGCTAAATGAGAATCAAAGCAGGAACCAAGAATTGGCACCAGGAAAGATTATAACAACCTACTCAGTCAAAGAATAGCATCCAGATTAGAGAAATACACATCAAGATAATAAGCCAGTTCCCAAAAGACAAATATCATGTTTTCTCTGATATGTGGGATTTAATATAAAATTCAACAAAAGTATAAGAATGAAACTGCCATCTTATGATATGATTATTATTTATAGCCCTTGTCTAAATTACTGTGGAACTATGGTCTTTCTGCTTCTGCATTTTACTTGTCAAACATTATGATTTGTGATGCATTAAACATGTACAAGAGTAAAGGAAAAAAAGAAAGAGAGGGGATTGAAGAAGGGAGGGAGGGAGGAGACTGGTTGTCTTCTTAGAATTGTATGTATGAAATACATGAAATCTATTCTCTTTATATTAACAAAAATTAAAAAGATAACCAACTGAGAGAGATTGACAGATTGTAAGAGCATTGAGAGGCTGTTATTAGTAACTTTACCAAATACCATAACTTCCAGTCTACTTCCAAAGCTGAGACTCAAAAGCAGGACCAGTAAAGCTAGTAGCCCTTAGGTCTCCCATAGGTTGATGCCTCTGCTAGGAGGCATATCTAGGTCCTAGATAAAAAGCAGACAAATTTTGCTCAAGTAGACTGCACTTTATTTTCAAGATTGACTTCTAGATTCTTAGTCAGTGAGAGGGGTTCAGATGTCATCTCAGTAATTAGCAAACTGGCTCCTTTGTTCCTGAGCTTATGCCTAGGCTATCCTAATAGAGAGGATTGTCTGGTGCCAACCAGATAGTATGACGATATCATTCCTGGGCATGGTCAGTGTCAATGTCCTCTGCCATCTGCAGTGCCTTGGAATGCTGTGGGATGCCTGTGAGGTCGGCCACCCTGCCCCAAGGCTTAACATTAATCTGAGTAGGAGAAGGTAGTAGTATAAATAAGACTGCAGTCCTCCTTGGTTGTGGGTGTAGACTAAAGAAAACCTGATAACCTCTTGCTCTGTAAAATCCCATACAAGCAGAGCATTCTTCACTTTTGAGTGTAGACTAGTTAAGATTTAAGATGTCTGGCTGTTTTCAGGCTCTTGGTTCCTGATTCTCATTTGGTGAAAATCTAGAGATGAATTTATCTTTCCCAAATAAGGAAATTAAATTTAAAAATTGAAGTTATAAGATGATCCACAGTATGTCTAAAGAACTTTTAGAGAAAAAGAACTTTGTGAATTTCCACGGAGGTGAGAATTAGCCAATGTGTGGATTATTTGCTCTCTTAATTCTAGATGTTTATTCCTTATCACCTTTTATTATCTCTGGTGGTTCTTGTTGAAATAAATTCAAGTGCTTTTATAGCATTATAAAACATAATTATTAGTTTAGCTTTGCTAAACATAACACCAACACCTAACTTGCAAAAAATGTGTTTTATAGTTTAAAAGTATTTTACATGTTGTTAACTTTATCTCAAATTATGAAAATATTGCATATGGAATATTAACTATATTCTACAGATAGAGACCTGCAGTTTAATGAATTTGTCCAAAGTCACATAACTGCTAATTTACTTATTGAGGCAAAGATATAGTCTGAAATATAGATTTCCTACTTTAGAGATCAAATCACTGGGAATGTTGAGTCTGAGAATTATTCTCTCAGCATTTCCTTCCATTCTTAAGTTACTCATTTAATTTTCTTTTACTACTTCATATTTGCTCATTTTCTCCTGTGACTTTCCCATTTGGAAAAACAGAGGCTGCTTTTGGCCTCTGTTGTTCCTTGAGTGCTTTGCATACCATCTCATATATTACTTTGCACTTGAACATCTGTCTGAGAAACAGCAGTTTTTGCATTCTGTAAGTTCGCTTTGGAATTTACCTTTGCCTCATCTCTGTAGTTGACTGTTATTATCTTACCATACTCAGAAAAGGATTTGCCCTATTGAATCTGGTCATTTATCCCTATAAGCTAATACCCAGTTTCTAGCAAGGCTGTGCCATGGTGTTTCAGAAGTAAGCACTGTATTACCCTAACTGGGAATTAGGAAACAAAACTTCTGTTGTGACTGCATCTTGACTGTGAGGAAATTGTTTGGTTTCTTTCATTGGTGCTTGATTGTCACTGCATAGTAAGAAATTGCAAGAAACATTGAGTTATGGGATATTTAATGTAGAGCCCTTTTGCGAGTCAGCTTAATTTTCTAGTATCATATATATAAAATACATACTTTAAAAAATTTCTTAATAAGAAACACCATTGTTGGCTGATTAAATATTTTAATTTAATCTTGTTACTCACATAATAATTATAGTTCAGAGCTGCTTTCTACTGCATTTTGGCATAATTCTGTGGTGTTAGGTAAGTTAGTATTTTCAGTTTTTGATTTGAGTTTAGAAGAAGAATCACAGCTCAAGAATTATTTGACCACTTCCTTTTCAGTGGTTCCTAAATTTGTATCAGTGTTAGCTGTGTGTGTATATTTATTCACATGTGCTTTAGATACATATTCTAGGGCTCTATGCTAGGAAAAAGAAAAAGACTCTTTGGAGTGGAAAGCAGGAATGTTAATTTAGGAAGGTACCTCAGTGATTCTGATTTTCATCCAAGGGAGGGGATCATTTTTCCTAGGTTATAGAGACCATCTAAAAAAGTAATAATAGTTTAGACAGGTTCATTTAATCCATATATATTTATTGGTTGGCTGCAATTTTTTATCTTTGTGCTGGGTATTGGAATAGGTGATTTGATGCAGGCATTGTGTACAGGTACTTTTAATTTAGTGACGGTTGCCCCAGCAATTTATCATGTGTATTATCCAGTAGGAAAATAGCGTATTAACAAAGTAAAAGAGAAACTCATAGTCTTTTTTTTTCCCAAAGATTTACTTATTTCATTTGAAAGGCAGAGTTACAGAGAGAGGGAGAAAGACCTTCCAATGGCTGGAGCTGGACTGATCTGAAACTAGGAGCCAGGAGATTCTTCTGGGTCTTCTACATGGGTGCAGAGGCACAAGGACTTGAGCCATCTTCTACTGCTTTCTCAGACACATTTGCAGGGAGCTAGATTGGAAATGGAACAACCAGAAATCAAACCATGTGGGATGATGACCCTGTAGATGGTGGATTAACCTTCTATGCCACTGCACAGGCCCTGATGATAGTGTTTTAAACATTAGGTGTAAGGTCAGAGGATGTTCAGGAAAAGCACTGTGGAAGAGTGGGACTTGAAAATTTTGGTCCAGTGAGCAGTCAGAGTTAACCCTGTGAATGTGGAAAATAGAGCAGAGCTGTAAGGAATCACTGAATGTCTTTTAAAGGAAAGTGCATGATGAAGGTAGAACAGAACATTGGTCTAAGAGCAGCACTGGGATCTTGGAGGCAACCTCACATTCTGCCTGCAGTGTCTGTGACAGAGAAATCTTGATAAGGAAACATTGGTGTAATTTGATGTGTGGCTGGGTGTGAGGAAAAAAGAGGAAGGATGAGTCAACGTGCTGGCAATTAGAGATGTGATATCAATAACAGAGAAATAGGGATAGAGAGCTGGCTGGGCAAAGGATGATGAGCTTTTTCATTTCCTTGGTCTTCTGTGTTTTTACCACCATGTCCAGCACAACACCTGATGCTAAGTAGATGTTAGGTAAACTATTGGTTTGGCTGTCTCTTTTCATCTTATTAAGCAGGAAGTTGATTTCACTTTCATGAGAAGTATGGACAAGTGTGTGTTGAGGGAGGTACTGTGCCTCTATTCCATCAGGTTGTCCAGAGATCCATATTCCAGCTTATTTTGTTGCTTCACCTGCAGTGGGTAGTATGGCTGAGGATGACTCCCTTCTGTAATTCTTCCTTTGGCCTGAGAAAAAGAATGAAGTGAAGGGCAAGAAGTTTTCTTTCAGAGGCAACACTTTTTTGCTCCCTGCATTTCATTTGCCCATAACTTGTTTTTGTTGCTATACATAATATAAAGTAGGCTGTGGAAATTATCTGGCTTGGTATAGATCCAGTTAAAATTCAGCTGTTACTGCTAGAAGGATGAAGAGGCATAGATTCCTAAAGTCAGAACTTGCCACAGTGGTTCTCAGTTTTTTTTAAACAAGTATGCTTAGTATTTGATCATGTTGAGTTGAAGGAGGAAGGAAGGCTCTAAGTAGCAGTGACTGGGAAATAAAGACACAGAATAGTAGCTCAGAACAGTGTGTTAGGTATGAGATGTAAAAAGGTGAGGTCTTTCAAAGGTTATAGATGTTCTCATCAGATTGTACAGAAAAGCAATGAAACAGAGCAAGAGAGAGACTGGAGAGAGAAGGGTGCTCATTGGTTAGGTGGTGGGAAATGCAGACAAGAGAATCTAGAGAAATAATTAAAGATATAACCTGCTCAAAAATTAAAAAAATATTATTTACAGAGCAGAAAGTAAAATAGATGAAATGATATTGTAAAAAGGATAAATACAAGAATAAATGATTAGTGGTGTTGCACATGCCAGAAAAAGAAATACTGTTGAATGTGACAGAAAATTTTAGTGAAGATGTGTAGCATGCCAACATTAGACTCCATTTAGAGCATCCAATGCAATGGGCTGGACTACACAAGAATGTGGTCTGTTACAGGGGGAAATATTTAAGGAGAAATGTAATAGAGGTTCTTGGAATGGTATGGAAATATGTCCATGAAACTGTCCTTAGTGATTGTACCTGAGAGATGGTATTATGATGGGTTACTAACCTTCTACTCTTTTTATGTTGAAATTAACATGAAAATGATTTGGGTAGGATTTTATATAAACAGTAAATTAATTATTTTAAGACTCTATAGTTTAATTTTTGTTTTATAATCAGTAAGTAATATGAGCCATATTTAATTGATAGGGCAGCTCAGATCTTATTTAAAGGGCAAGGGATTTGCATATATGATGTTTTCATTCTCTGGAATATTGTGGGTGAGGGAAGGGAGTATCTTCCTTCACTCAATAGGAGTCTCTGTATTCCATTGTCTGTCTAAGTATATTTCCAACCTGCTAATACCCATACTATTTACTAAAGAACACGTTTAGCATGTAGTTTTTTTCTGACTTGTAAGTAAGGCCAGCTCAATAGTCAATGGGTCTTTGACATAAATACCATGTTATCTTTATTTGTTTGAACTGAAGAAAGAATAAAGGGACTTTAGGTTCAAGCTAAATGGATTAAATGATTACAATTTGTTCAAAGTTGTTAGTTTTTTTTTTAAATGATTTATTTATTACTTTGAAAGGCAGAGTTACAGAGAAAGAAGAAGAGACAGAGAGATTAAGATTTTCTATCTGCTGCTTCACTCCTCACATGGCCACAACAGTCAGTGCTGAGTCAGGCTGAAGTCAGGAGCCTGGAACTCTATCCCAGTCTCCCACAAGGGTTCAGGGGCCCAGGACTTGGGCCATCTTCCACTGCTTTCCCAGATGCATTAGCAAGGCGCTGAATCAGAAGTGGAGCAGCCAGGACTCAAACTAGCATTCATATGGGATCCTGGCATCCCAGCTGACAGCTTAACCTGCTGTGCCATGATGCCAGCCCCTGTTAGATCTTGTTCACTACCACCCAATAAAAATAAAATGCAAGGCACATGTGCAATTTAAAAATTTTTGGGAGCCACATTTTAAAAAGTATACAAAAGTAGGTGAAATTAAGATTAATATTAACATTAACATAAAATACAGAGGGGCCAAAATACTTTCACTTAAGCATGTATTCAGCATTTTACAAATTAGGTATTTTATATTCTCTTTTATCCTTAAGGAAAAAAAGAAAACAAGTCTTGTAGGTCTGTACATATTTTAAGTACCCAATTAACCACATGGTTAGTAGCTCTGTATTGGATGGTACAGTTTTAGAGAATTGATGAGTGGTCTTTTGTAGTTCTCTCACTCTCTTTTAGAAAGTATAAGTTTACTTGATTGTGTGTGTGTTGTGGGGGAGGAGGGAAAATGTACACTCCCACCTGCTGCTTCACTTCCCACATCCCCTCAAGGGCCTAGCAAAGCTGGTAGCTAAGCACTCAGTGCAAATCTCATGGGTGGCAGGAGCCCAAGAATCTAAGCCATTACTTGCTGTCTCCTAGGGTGTGCATTACTAGGAAGCTTGAATCTGTACTCAGACCTTGGAACTGGACGTAGGCACTTGCATGTGGGACTAGGGTGTTCTATCTGGCAGCTTAACTCCTAGGCCAAATGCACACCCCTGTTCTTGTCTCTCTTGGTGTTGAGCTTAGGTTAATTGCTTGCAGGTCTGCCACTAAAGATCTCTCCCTGATTTCAAGTTGCTTTAAGCACTAATCCAAATAGGTTTGTTTAGTGAATTAATATTATCTTATTTTGTGACCACTGTTAGGAGGTAAGGCAAATGAATGGAAACTAAGGGCTTTTCTTAACCTTCCCCCAATACTTTGCTTGCTATAGGATCTGAAATTTCTTGGTTATATATTTAAAATTGGTTATATATTTAAAAATTAGTGAAAACTAAAGTTGAAGTTAGTTTTTCTCACCCTTCACATTTTCTTTCACTAGTCCAGTTGATGCTTGTTTCACTGTCCACTGAGATTTAATAGTTTTCTGTGCTATCACCTAAGAAAAACTTGGTTTCAGTAGAAAAAAAGGAGTTACCATCTTTCTCTCACACTAAAGTTTTAGATGCTCCTTTAAAAAAAAAGAGCTACACAACTTCAATTCCTTCAAACATTTGTGTTTACTTGAAAGACCAAGACAGACAGAGATCTTGGTTTACTCTCTGGATGCCTGAAACAGTGAGGGCCAGAACCAGGCTTCAGCCTGGAGCTGAGAGCTCAGTCTGGGCTGCACATGTGGGTGACAGGGACTCAATTATTTGAGCCATCATTTGCTGCCTCCCAGGGTGCATATTAGCAGGAAGCTGGAATCAGAAATGGAGCTAGGACATAAACCTATGCACTCTGATTTGGCATATGGGCTTCCAAAACAGTGTCTTAACATCAAATGCCTGCCCCACAACTTTTATTTTAAGATGGTGCTTGGAGCCGGCGCCGTGGCTCACTAGGCTAATCCTCCGCCTTGCGGTGCTGGCACACTGGGTTCTAGTCCTGGTCGGGGCACCGGATTCTGTCCAGGTTGCCCCTCTTCCAGGCCAGCTCTCTGCTGTGGCCCAGGAGTGCCGTGGAGGATGGCTCAAGTCCTTGGGCCCTGCACCCGCATGCGAGACCAGGAGAAGCACCTGGCTCCTGCCTTCGGTGTGCCGGCTGCAGCGGCCATTGGAGGGTGAACCAACGGTAAAGGAAGACCTTTCTCTCTCTCTCTCTCTCTTCCTACTCTGAATGTAAAAAAAAAAAAAAAAAAAAAAAACAAAAAAAACAAAAAAAACACAAGATGGTGCTTGGTTTATTCCCTGTGGCTGTTGTTATGATCAATGAATTATTGAAAAAAATTAACAAATTTCTAGAGGAGTAAGTAATATTCATCTTTTTAAAGAATTTCATGCTTTAGTTTTTTCTCCTAAATCATATTTACTCAGAAGTAAAAGGACTAGTTCACCTGTAACAATCAAATTGCTGCTTTGATTTTTTTTAAAGATACGATGCAGTCGAATGTTTTTCTGAATGTTGTACATCACTTGCGTTGGTATCCTCATGTTTGTTCTGATTCTTCTTAATCTGTTTTAACATGGTATTGATATTGAATCTGAAGCTTGTCCTGGGATGTTGTGGAGGGAAGGCAACAAAGTAGAATGGTCTATTATACGGGGACCAGTGGAAACCTGAAGTTTCGCCAAGAATTCTGCCTCTTTCTTTAGTCTTAGGGCTATTAGGGAAAGGCCTAGGGAATTATAGTAGATTTTGTGTCAAAGTCCTTCTTATTATTATTTTGGCCTTGCTTCCACAGATAGTATGCCTAGTAAAGAACCGGTTTTCAAATCCCTGGTCCATCTTGTTCTGGCACTCTTGTACAATAAAATATATATGATTTACTAGAAAAATGAAATTAGAAAAAACTTTCAAATCAAAGACATACAGATCTAGATTCAATGGGCAAAATATTACTCCATCAGATTACTCTAAAATTTCTAAATCTTGCTTTCAATTTCTGTACATATTCATCCCTTTGGTGGACAAGTGATATTTAGCCTGTGGGCTGACAGCAACCTGCAATGCACATTTGAGTAGGTAACACTGCTTACAACTAAATAATCATCTTATGGACCACTCTATGATGTATTTCCCCCATTTCACAGATCAGAACACTTAGGATTAAAGAAAAGAGACCAAGAAACCCAAGATCTTCACAGGCTGATGCTAGAATTCAGACCCAGAGTTATAATTAGAATTAAAGAAATGCATCTCTATCCCTGGGCTGGCCAGCTTCTGCCTGTATTCCATATGCTGTGCAGCACACAGCCTGGACCATGGTGCGGTGTGGGCTTGTTCACATGTACCTGTGCCCTGTCTGCCTCCCTTCATCATGATGAAAGGAGAATGGGCAGTGGAAGTATCTATGAAATACATGAAACTTGAATGTCTTAAATAAATTGTTTAAAAAGGACCAAGAATCATTTTAGTATGCATTTTCACATAATAGCATTTGAAAGAAAACTCAAGTTGATTAAAATTGCTAGTTTTCGGTTTTTCTAATGCACGCTTGTATTTAAGATGTGGTGTACCTGTTGATTTAACTATTGTATATTTTACTGGGTGTACCATTGTTAGGAACTTCTGTGTGTAATCATCCAAGTAAGGGGATTCAACATAACACAAAAAAAATAAATTAATATTTAATGATCTACAAAATAGATGTTAATACATTACTATTTTTCCTTTCTGCTTTTATCATGATTCTTCTGTCGCAGTTCCCAGTACTCACTTAGTTTATACACTAAATCACTAAATAATAAAAAAAAAAGGCAGTTGGGATAAAGGATATCTCACTGATAACAGTAATTGTTCAGACCAAAAATTAGTTAATGTTTATTTTAATCACGTTTCTACTTAAGTAGCCTAATTACATCAACAATATTAGAGTCTTGAAAGTTTTTACTGGGACCACATGTATAGGACATGTCAGTTTTACTCCCTTTCATGGCCAAATACAGCATATTTTCAAAGCAATTATGTTTATTGGTCATAGACTACCAAGGAAGAGCATTTAAGTAGAGAAATAATTTGCAAACATGGAAATGCTACTAAGCTAATGAGGTTTTGAGTTCTTAAAAAATTGCATAGGAGGAAGGAAAGTTTAATACATGTCTTGTAGAATTAAACGGAGTATGGCCGGCGCCACAGCTCACTAGGCTAATCCTCTGCCTGAGGAGCTGGCACACTGGGTTCTAGTCCCGGGCAGAGCACTGGATTCTGTTCTGGTTGCTCCTCTTCCAGTCCAGCTCTCTGCTCTGGCCTGGGAGTGCAGTGGAGAATGGCCCAAGTGCTTGGGCCCTGCACCCGCATGGGAGACCAGGAGAAGCACCTGGCTCCTGGCTTCGGATCAGCGTGGTGCACCAGCCACTGAGGGGGCGAACCAATGGAAAAGGAAGAACTTTCTCTCTGTCTCTCTCTCTCTCTTCCTACTCTGAATGTAAAAAAAAAAAAAAAAAAATTAAACGGAGTAATGAATATGAATTTTTTCTTTTAGTGTATGAATTGGTATCACAATGAATTGAGTGAATCGAACTAAGATAAAAGCTGCCAAAAATTTCATTTTTGACAAAGCATTTATAATGTCTTCCCAAGACTTAACTTCTTATAACTATCATTTATAGCAATGAACACACTATGTATTAGACACATTGACAAAATGTTAGGTACAGCATCACACTGAATATCTATTGCAACTTTTTTTTTTTTCAAGATTTTATTTTATTTATCTGAAAGAGTTACAGAGAGAGGTAGAGATCAGAGAGAGGTCTTCCATCTGCTGGTTCACTCCCCAGATGGCCTCAATGGCTGGAGCTGTGCCGATCCAAAGCCGGAGCCAGGAGCTTCTTCCAGGTCTCCCACGTGGGTGCAGGGGCCCAAGGACTTGAGCCATCTTCTGTTGCTATCCCAGGCCATAGCAAAGAGCTGGATTGGAAGACGAGCAGCTGGGACTAGAACCGGCGCCCATGTGGGATGCTGGCGCTTCAGGCCAGGGCTTTAACCTGCTGCGTCCCAGCGCTGGCCCTTATTACCACTTTTAGAAACCGATGTTGCTGTTACTGTTTTTCTAGATGAGGGAACTGAGGCTTTAGGTGTAGTAGTTTTTTGAGAATATTTTAGAAAACAAGTAGGAGATTCTAGAAACAAGATCTGTGCACCAGAAACACTGGTATTTCCTGGGACGTTGTTAGATATGAGAAACATCAGCTCTGTCCAGATTTATTTAAAAAAGATCCCAAATGACCAAGCTCCACATTAAAGTTTGAGAAGTACTACTTTATTTTATGAAGTCTACATTCATAATCTCTATACATAAATCCTGCCTCCTAGGGAAGCCCAAGATAATAACTCCATTAAGAGAATTAGTTGAATCTGGTGTGACTATAGGCAAATTCAAAATATTCCTTTTTTTCTGATTATATGTTCTAATTCTTCTCTTTTTGGCTAAGGATTCTTATTTAATCTTAGAAGAGTCCAATCTTTTTTCTCCATTGCAACTGTGGTCATTAGATTCTAAACATGTTCTAGTTTGATAGCTTCAGGTTCTTATTATCCAGAGTATTGAGAAAAAAAGAACAGAAAATGACAGCAGTTAATAGCATAATGTTTGGATTACCATAGGGAAATTTGGAGTCCATCCTTTTTAGTTTTTTAAAGATTTATTAATTTTTAATTGAAGGGCAGATAGAGCAAATGAGCTTCCATCCAATAGTTTACTTCCTAGGTTCCCACAACAACCAAGTTTGGGCTAGGCCAAAGCCAAGAGCCAGAAACTCCATATGGGTCTCCCATATGGGTGGCAGAAACACAAGCCCTTGGGCCATCATCACTTGCTGCTTTCCCGGTATATTAGCAGGATGTTGGATAAGAAGCACAGAATAGCAGGGACTTGGACTAGGCACTCCAATATGGGTTGCAGATATCCCAAGTGGTTGCTTAACTCACTGTGCCATAATACCACACCTGAGTTCATCGTTTTAGATATCTTTTCTCTCCTAAATGTATATGCATTCTGGAAGGTAATAGGTAATTATTGTTTGTACATAGTATCTTAGGTATTTAAATAAGAATAGTTTAAAATCAAGTACATTTGATTTTTAATAGAAAAATCATGTTTCAGAGAGAAAGCGATCAATCTTCCATCTGCTGATTCACTCCCCAAATGGCCACCATGGCTGGAGCTGGGCCTGGAACTCCATCCGGGTCTCTCACAAGAGTGGTAGGGAACCAAGTACTCAGGCCATCTTCTGCTGCTTCCCAGGCACGTTAGCAGAGAGCTGGATCAGAAGCAGAGCAGCTGAGACTTGAATCAACATTCTAATATGGAATGCCAGTATCACAGGCAGCAGCTTAACTTGCTGTGCCACAATGCCAGTCCCAGAATAGTTCACTTTCAAAGGGACTGAGAAGAACTGGCCAGGACTTCTAGAGTAGAGTTTCTGTAAAGGTGTGATGAACATGCCAACACTGCAGGGCGGTCACATGGTATATGAGTTTAAATGTCCTTTTCATTTCTGGACCAGGAGGTGACAGGGAGTTTCATAGAAGGAGTTTTGTCAAATAGCATGGAGGGGCCCCAGAATGCATTTATCTGAAGTTAGGAATTGTTTTTCAGACAGTTCCTACCTTCTGCTTTTCTGATATTAAATTTTTGTTTCTGTCAGCTCTGAAGGGAGATACCATTCATAGACATACTTTGCCATACTAGTGGATTCATACTCAATTTTGAAGATATTTTTTCCTAGTTGAAATTTAATAAAGTGTTTAAAGAATACATTTAGAATCAAAATTTATATGTCAATTTCCCTCTGAGCCAGCAGTGCCTCTTGTGAGGTATTGTCCCATACCACAGGAGGTTTTCAGAAATGACTCAGGAGGTTTTTGTGGTTGGTCCTTCTGAAAGTGGTTTGTTTTATTCCCAACCCCCATCCCTGCTGGGGAACCAAGAAAGCTATTATTGCTGTTAAGAATATTGTTTTACTCTGTGACTTCGTGTGACAGCTGGGTATGATTATTTTATTAGTTTCCTGATTGACCCAACTTAAACCAAAAAGGAATACAAAGTCAACAAATGTGATAGCTGTTAAGGCAGCTGTCACTTCTGGTAATTTGGCCATAACCACTTTTCTTTCCTTTTCCTCCAGTGTTTTTCTAAGCAGATTTAAAATAAAACATGGAGAGTAAATAGAAATTGCTGTCCTTCACAGGATCAGGAATTGGGATAAGAGTTTCATAAGCAGGATTTATTGGTGGTGTGTTATATTGTCTGTAAAACACAGTTTCGACACATCTGTTTTTTTGTGTTTTTTTTTTTTTTTTTTTTTTTGACAGGCAGAGTTAGACAGTGAGAGAGAGACAGAGAGAAAGGTCTTCCTTTTTCCGCTGATTCACCCCCCAAATGGCCTCCATGGCCAGCGCACTGCGCTGATCCAAAGCCAGGAGCCAGGTGCTTCCTCCTGGTCTTCCATGTGGGTGCAGGGCCCAAGCACTTGGGCCATCCTCCACTGCCTTCCAGGGCCACAGCAGAGAGCTGGACTGAAGAGTAGCAACCAGGACAGAATCCAGTGCCCCAATTGGGACTAGAACCCTGGGGTGCCGGCATCTCAGGCGGAGGCTGAGCCAAGTGAGCCGCGGGGCCAGCCGACACATCTGTTCTGTAACAAGCTGCCCACCTCTGCTTTAGGAAACCTTCCCTTAAGGTTGTGTGTACTGACTCTTCAAGACTTTCCAGATAGCCAGACTTGAGATTGAGTGCCTGCTGCTCGGCTAATTTGATGGTTGTATCCCTCTATTAATTAGTTGGAAAATTCTCCATAAAATGGGTCAAATGCAGAATAACGGAACTGCCAATAAAATAGTGAGCTTTCTTAATGACCCAAATAAAAGCACATTTTCTGTTTTATAGAACAACCAATATGATCTAACAAATTGTCTATGTGTGTACTTTTATGTTGCCCTTCACTTTTGACCAGTGTTTCAAGGCTCTGTATTTAAAAAGAAACACTTTTTATAACTCAGGCTGCAAATAATCAAACATGTAATTGTTATTTTACAGAGACCAATTTTCTAGACTATTAGAAAATTGTTGACAGATCAGGCTCTTAAAACACTATTAAAGAACATGACTTTGAAGCTAATAGTGAATTCTGGGGGGGAGGGAGGAAGAGGAATATTGGATCCCAAAGATTTATGACATAAAACCCAAAAGCATTCTTCAAGCACAGAAAAATTGGTTTTGAACAATTTAAGTAGTGACAAAAGGCGTTTTCTGTTAATTTATTCTTCATTTACGATTTTGAAAAGTATATTAGAAATTTTGGGATTCAAATTAATGTTTTTCCTTTTTCCTTCCTCGAGCAGGTTGTCAAGTTATTAAGCAACAAAAGATCACAAGCAGTTGGAATATTAATGTCTAGTCTTCACTTAGATATGAAAGACATACAACATGGTAAGTAAAATAAAAATTCAGTTTTTAAGTACTGAAACTTGGACCACAGAGTACAATGTTTGGTGACAAAATTATTTTAAACTTAGAGTTTCTGTTTCTACTGAGGTTGGTATATTTCTCTCATGAATGCTTCTGAAAGGGTTTATTAATTTGGTGTTTCTCTTATTTCTATATCTTGCTGAGAGCATAATTCACATGTTGTGTTATCATTGTTCAGGCTGCTTTAAGTATCCTACTGGATGGCTTGAAAACAACAGAAATTTATTTCTCACAGTTCTAGAGGTTCAAATTCCAAGATCTGGTTGCCGGCAAGGTTTTGTTAGGGTCATCTTCTGGGTTGTAGACTGTAATCTTCCTGTACACTTATGTGGCAAAAAGAGGATCAGAGAACTCTCTTGCATGTCTTTTGTAAGAGCATTAATCCCATTCATGATCTAATCATCTCCCAAAGACCCCCTGCCTCCGAAACTCATCACTTTGGGGGTTAGGATTACAACATATGAAATTATGGAGGACAGAAGTATTTAGTCCATTGCATATATTTTTAGCTTGTTTTGAAAATATTATTTTTACCTCATAAGTAGTACTAGTTCACTGTGCTCTGTAAATACTTAGACCATATCTGAAGGATCGACTTCTGGATGGCATGCTCAAAGTGCTACTGATAGACACTAGTGTGAACCAGATAGTAGATTACTTCTCTGTCATTAAAAAATTCTTGGAGAAAATAGTCTGCAGGAGAGAAAAATTAATTGGGCCTTGAGTCCCAAGTGTTTGTTGCTCTAATTTAATGAAGAAGAGGAAGTAAGTCTGGAATTCTCTATCAACCCATGTGAAAATTACAGGGATATATGTTTCTTTATTTCTTTTTCCTTTTAGGTCTATTTATTTGTTTGAAAGGCAGAGTTATAGAGATAGGGAGAGGGAGAGGGAGAAAGAGAAAGATCTTTCATCTGTTGAGTATCCTCCCCAAATGGTTGCGATGGCCGGGACAGGCCAAAGCCAGGAGCCTGGAACTTCATCCATGTCTCCCACATGCGCCTCAAGGGCCCAAGTACTTGGGCCCTCTTTCATTGCTTTCCCAGTCACATTAGCAGGTAGCTGGCTTAGCAGTGTAGCAGCCAGGACTCGAACTGGCACCCATAAGGGACAATGGCGTCACCGGTAGTGGTGTAACCTGCTGTTCCACAACCGGAGCACACAGGAAGCACAATGGGGAGGGTGTTTCGGCTGTTACTTTCAGAATGTTCTTATGATTAGAGAGCCTGAAGTACCTCTTATCTTGAATGTCTTTAAGGTGTTAGATGGGAGATGGGACATAATCTCTTAGTCTCAACCCAAGATATGGTAAAATGCTGACAGAGTCACTAAAGCAAATTGTTATATATAGCATTTTAGGTAACAAAGCTGATCACTCTTAATACAGCAGTTTGGATACAACTACAGTGTAAACTCCTGAGCTTTTCTGCATATAGGGGGATTAAATTGTTTTTTCTACTAACCACAAAAAAGAATTTCAATTTATTCTTGCCCACTTATATTATTGACCGTGTCTAGACACGTGGAAACAGCAATGTCATGGCCTTTTGTGATTTCTTTTATGTTGTTGTTGTAACTGAAGTCTTTAAGAGACTCATAAAATATTTCTATATGTAGTGATTTTAACATTTTCTAAATGATTTTCATGTCAATATTTTAATAGTTGAAGTCTACCTTATTGTTAATAGCAATTTCTGTGCTATATCCTTCTATCACATTTAGGTTGAGAGATACTGCCTAAAGGTGAACAGAGGAATTGAATTTATACTCAGAATGTCCCTTAAGCTGCCCAGGACCTTAGAATAGATTTAAAGCAGATTGAATTATTCAATGGAATGCCAGTTTACCTATTAAAGAAATATGGTTTCAAGTACAACACAGACCTTATAAATCATGAAAATGTTTAACTGGCTTTCTAGCTTACCCCTTTATGAATGTGGATTCTATTTGTTCGGCTTAAAATATCATGGGGCATAATTCATAAATAGCACAAGTTTGGTATGCCCTGTCAATTGATGAGTAACTCTTAATCACAGTGTAAGTTTTTATTAAATTGTTTTGATGGTGAGGAGACTTCCTCAAGCTGAAACATTTGGGCAATAGTCATAGAAGAGAATGCCAAGGCTGGCGCCAAGAAGTACTTGGTGTTTCTAAAGCTGGCAAATGTAGCCCAGTTAAGTCATAGAATGAAATCTGAAAATAATGATATGGTCCTTTCCTTCAGTCAAATATTCAACTCAGGCTAAGTTAATAATGAGAACCTTATGAACAAAGGAGTCCGCCTGACATCTGTGTCTGTGGTAAAGCCAGAGAGAGTTCATTGAAAATTTGCTCGCTTAACATGCAATGCTAACAATAACATGGCATGGACGTCAGTAGTTGAAGGGTCATACAGAATTATGCATAAACTTTATCCTATTAGGATGTGAAGTGATTGCCTGAATCTCTGAATCCCTGAACACCCATTTTCTTACAAAAAAAAAAAAAAAGTTGCCTTCAAAGTCTAAGGAAGCAAGCAGTTATGCCTTTTTTTTTTTGGGTAAAGTCCTGTTCTGCCTTGGTATATTATCTGGGACCACGATTTACATGGGCAAATCACTTGTGGCCTCTAGAATAAGCCTTCTTTCTCTCAGAATTTGCCTCCCCTGAGAAATCCACAGAAGCATAAACAACATTGATTGTGGATATAGAAGCAACCACAGAATTTATCCAGACCTCCAGTGTCATTTTATAGAAGAGAAAACTAAGACCTACTAGTGGTTTAGTTCCTTTCTCACATCATGCAGCTCATTAATGGAACATACCGATAGTGCACCCAAGCCTCTTCGTCGATCGATCCTGTTCTTTTCACTCACATGTGCTGCTCCTCCAAGAATGTGCTTTTCCAGCAAGCATCTCTACAACAAAGTATATGTACTACTGTAATAAAGAGCAGAAACTATTCTTTTCTCTCTTCTTCCTGTCAAAACTCTGGAGAAGCCTAGAGTCGAATTTACTTTGTAATGTTCTATTTTAAAGTGCCCAGTAATGAGCATGTCAAGTTTGCATTTTAGGTGTCAGAAGTCTAATTATTGTTTTATTGCCATATCTACTGAGTATTACATCATGCTCAGCCACTAACGTGGGTATAGGTTCTTTGTTAAAATAGCAAACGTGGAGTCCTCAGCATTTTGACATACAGTCAAAATGCAGAAAGGAGAGAAGAGAGCAGGTTTTTAGGTTTATTGATGAAGTAATCGCAAGTAAGGCAGCCCCAGTAAGTAACTGTACAAATGTATAAAAGTTATTATGAAGGCCTGAACTCTCAGACTGCAGTAATGAATCTATATGGTTACTGCTATACTGACCTTTTATGTTTATAAATACAATTTTTCTATTGGAATGGTGAAACTGTCACATGAAAAATTCACTCCTGTGGTTTATTTTTATTTTTTTATTTTATTTTTTTGGACAGAGTTAGACAGTGAGAGAGAGACAGAGAGAGAGAGAGAGAGAGAAAGGTCTTCCTTCCATTGGTTCACTCCCCAAATGGTTGCTACGGCCAGCGCGCTGCGCTGATCTGAGACCAGGAGCCAGGAGCTTCCTCCCAGTCTCCCTGTGCGAGTGCAGGGCCCAAGCTCTTGGCCATCCTCCACTGCCTTCCCAGGCCACAGCAGAGACCTGGACAGGAAGAGGAGCAACCCGGACAGAATCTGGTGCCCCAACTGGGACTAGAACCTGGGGTACTGGCGCTGCAGGCAGAGGATTAGCCTAGTGAGCCACAGCACCGACCCAACTCCTGTGGTTTATAATACCTTAAAAACTAGGATGAAGTGCCTTCCAGAGGGAATTCACCCCTTTTTGTGTGTTAGAGCTGAGGGTTACTGTGGATCTAAGCTCCTGGGGGGGTCCATTGTACAGGTTGGCCTGAGCATATGGCCCTTTGAGCCACAGTTTAATGTGGGGAAGGTCTAAAACCTGTACCTTATGTGGGCTCTCAGCTGTGATATTTGGCCCTTGACCCAATGAAGCTGACAATGAAAAGTTTAGATTTGCTGGGACTGGCATGTAAGCTCAGTGCAGAAAACATTAGTGAGCTGGTCACGGCTGTGTATTCCATCTTCCATTTAAATTTTTCTTTATTTATTAGAGAGAGAGAGAGAGAGAGAGAGAGAATCTCCCATTTACTGCTTCATTCCTTAAATGCCCACAATGGCTGAGGCTGGGCCAGGCCAAAGCCAAGTGGCAGGAACCCAGTCTGGAACATACACATGGGTGGAAGGGACATAACTGCCTGATCCATCACCTCTGCCTTCCAGGTTGTACATTAGCAGGAGGGTGGAATGAGGAGTGGAGCCAGGATTTGAATCTGTGCAATCTGATATGGGATACTTGTCTTAATTGCTATACCAAACACCTGCCCCTTGTCATTTTGCCTAGTATCATAATTACTTGCTATCTTCTTAGGTTTGCTATCTTTATGATATCCTAGAAATATATTTTGTTCAGTATTTTCAGTTGTTCCTAGTGGGAGGATTTATTCAAATAATGTAGCTCATTGTTCCCACAAACTGGTAATATGAGGTTATATCATAGCTCTAGTAGTTTAGTAATGGTAGCTTAGTTTTGTGAAATAGACTGAAATTTAAAGCAACATTTGGTTCACATTTCAGGAATAGTGTGATAGTCACAGGTCTTAGGTCCATTTTGGTAGATAATTGTGGCTTCAAAAGAATTTTAAATTCCATAATATTCAGCTCCCCACTCTCAGCCCAATCTCATTTCTACATAAAATATCCATATATTTTGACATCCAAACTGGGGTACTTTTAGAACATAGGAAGGGGTGCTATTAATAATAGTGCTTGGAAAACAAGTGTAAAGTAGAAATTTGAATGAATATCAGTAGTATGGACATCCTACTGCCAGATCAAGCTGGAACAACTTTCGTATCTAATCTTCCTTCACACAAGATATGTATAAAACATATTCATGGGATCAGTGCTGTGGCATAGTGAGTAAAGCCACCGCCTGCAGTGCCAGCATCCCATCTGGGTGCCAGTTAGACTCTGGCTGCTCCAATTCTGATCCAGCTCTCTGCTGAGGCCTGGATAGCAGTAGAAGATGGCCCAAGTCCTTGTACCCCTCTACCTACGTAGGAGACCCAGAAAAAGCTCCTGGCTCCTGGCTTCAGATCAGCCCAGCTCCCGCCACTGCAACCATTTGGATAGTGAACCAGCAGATGGAAGATCTCTCTCTCCGCTTCTGCCTCTCTGTAACTCTGCCATTCAAATAAATAAATCTTTAAAAAAAAAACATATTCGTTGGCTAGCAAAAACAAAATCATTTGGAAATCCTGCTTTATACACTTGGAGTTACCTACCTCTCTGTCCTTATGTGGATTGTCGCCATGATCTTTTCTGAAGAGTTTGCTCTGATGGAAGCAAGCACATCACAGAGGTAGAACTCTTTTTCTTTTGTAGGTTGCAACTCGAAGTCTAACTCAACCATTGGACTTAGCCAGTCCTGTTTAAGTTTTAATTCTCAGGCAGCCAAAGCACCAAACTGTAGCCTTCAGTAGATTCTCATTCTTTGTCTATAGAGAGGGATAGTGGTGGAACACCTCTGAGAGATTTTAGCTAATCCACGCATCTTGAATAGTTTTACTGGAGAAATCCAATGGCAGACATTAGTATGCTATGCTAACAAGACCTCGGTTTGATTTCGGTAGATAGTTGAGTGTCCTGTATGAGCTGTCTCTTGTGTGCAGTTTTTTGTTTACAGTGGTGTTGAAGGGGTGGACTCTTCAGAAGATTCCTGTTGAAGCTTTAGCTGACTCATATATCCAATTGCATTTCCTCTTCAAATGGATTTTAAAGTAGATTTTAGATTTTTTTTTTTTTTAACATGCAGAGTGGACAGTGAGAGAGAGAGCCAGAGAGAAAGGTCTTCCTTTGCTGTTGGTTCACCTTCCAAAGGCCGCCACGGCCGGCGCACCTCGCTGATCCGATGGCAGGAGCCAGGTACTTATCCTGGTCTCCCATGGGGTACAGGGCCCAAGTACTTGGGCCATCCTCCACTGCACTCCCGGGCCACAGCAGAGAGCTGGCCTGGAAGAGGGGCAACCGGGACAGAATCCGGCGCCCTGACTGGGACTAGAACCCGGTGTGCTGGCACTGCTAGGTGGAGGATTAGCCTAGTGAGCCGCGGCGCCGGCCAGATTTTAGATATTGTAACAGAGGATACTTGATACATGTTTCAAATGATCCCATCCATAGAATTAAGTTTCCTGCAGGGATGCCCAGCCCAAGATAGTAATGGCCCTGGTTACTCCCTGTATTTTATGTTTGTCCTGTCTGTAGCTAACTGTGGAATTGTGGGCCTGTAGACAATATGGCTAGATTATGTCTTTCTTGAAATTTCTGTCCTGTTTAAAGCTGACATGAAAATCATGAATCTTGAAATTAAATGTTAATTATAACTTGTTGAACATTCTATCAGAAATATCACTGATAAAATCAACAAGATCAGGTTATTTTTATTTGTTCTTTAAGCCTAATAATTGTTTTCACAAAAAACTTTAGAAAAATGTAGCTAAAGATTCTTTACAAGGACAATAAATGTGCTTATAGGTTTCAATGAGAAATTCTAGTGTGTAAGTTGCTATCTGTGGTGTCACTGCTGTATCTACTGAGCGTCACTTTAATGTGCAGCCTCTAAAATGAGCGCAGGTTCTTTTCCACACTAGCAGACAAAGCAGTCTTCAACAACACCTACTGTCAAAAGGCAGAGAGAAGAGAAATTTCTTAATCATTATTACTCACTGGAACCTTGCTCATATTGCATTCTTTCGATTTCTCATTGACCTCCCTCAAAAGGGTCAAAGCTGAGAAAACTTATCCTGATAATTGTCTAGGAAGAAATCACCTAAGGTAGAATTGCTATGGTTAATCAAATATATTTATTCAATATATTCTAAGAGTTTTTATAATCAAATCTTTTTGTTAGTACGCAAAGAGGTAAAATTAACTGTTGGTTTGATTTTTTTTTTCCTCCTTGTTGCTGGTAGTTATATAAAATGGTCCAGAGGGAGGAAGTTGATTTGCATCATACAGTGGAGGAACTGAGCCTTATAAATTAAGTCTGCTAGGACTCTTCCTTAATAGAGTCTGAATGAGCAATGAGACCATTTCCTCAACTCCTAAATCAGTGCTGTCTGCCCTGCAGCAGTTGAGTTTATGAGGGAAAATGTTATTTGATGAGACTATGAAACATGCCAAAACAAAACTGACAAAAGGAAAATGACTTTTGGTCACCAATTGTTTTGTGTTTTAGAGTTATTAAAAATAGATCGTACAAATTTATCAAGTTTCATTTATTGCTCTGTGCCACTTTATACAGATTCCGCAGTTTGCTTATTGACTCTGTTCTTTAGGGAAATGGAGTTGTGAACTTTTTTGACATATGAATTAAATATTGGACTAATATTTTCAAGAAAATTACTAATGAAATTGCTGTTCTTCATTAAGCTAAGTAAAGATAAATGACATACTTAGAGAGGGGCTGTTGTCGTGGTGCCAGTGAGCTAAGCTACAGCCCATGAAGCCAGCATCCTATATCAGAATATCAGTTCAAGTCCCAGCTGCTCTGCATCAGATCCAGTTCCCCATTTATATGCCCCAGAAAGCAGCAGAAGTTAGTGCAAGTCCTTGGTCTCCTGCAACCCAAATGGAAGACAACATTGCCCTGCTCTGATTGTTGTGGTCATTTGGGGAGTGAACCAACAGGTGGAAGATCTTGCTAAGATCAATCTCTCTGCTTTTCAAGCAAATAAATAAATCTTTTTTTAAAAAAAATAAAAAGAAATAATTAAAGAAAAAAGCAATCTGGGCTAAATCAGTGAACAAAAGCAAGTTGTGATTACTTGTGAAATGGGTGTGATTTATGGAATTTGAAGAGTGTTGTGTCTCTTTTGTAGGTTAGTGATTATCCAGAGAGTTACAGAAAATGCTTTCATGTTTTACTTATCCTCTCAGCATGTTCTTTATTTCTTCTGTCTCCCTTGCATCTGTACTCTCCTAAGATCCTCCTTGATCAAACCATGAGTGTAGTCTGATAATGAGTGAGAGAAAGGTTTCTGGGGCCAACCTGCCTTGATTTTGTTATGCACTGAACCATTTGTGTCATCCCTTAATTCATATGTGGAAGCCATAGCCGCAGTGGAGTGGTATTTGGAGGTAGGAATTTGGGGAACTAGTTAGGTTTTCATGAGTTCTTGAGGGTCGGGTCCTCCTGATTGATGGGATTAATGTTCTTCTGAGAAGAGAGACCACAGCCCTCCCTGCCAAGTGAGGACACAGCAAGCATCTGCACAGGGCAGGGAGAAAGTCACCCAGTTTGTGGTGTTTTGTTCTGGCAGCCTGAACTGCTTAAGATAACTTGAATTCCAGCCCTGCCACTGGCTAGCTACAAACCCAGACAAAGTTCATTATCTCCATTCCTCAGTTTCCTATTTGGCGCAAAGATCTGTTAAAAGAGTTTTTACCATAAACACACAATATACTCACATATCTCATTTTAAGCACTCAGAATTGGTTGTTCATTTCTTCCTGCAATTTTTAGGAAATAAGGTGTTTCTGTAGGCTTTGGAGGTATATGTGGAACATAGAGTTTGGATAACCAGTGGGGAACTTAAAGATTTTATTCTTCTTTCATTTCTTTTACTACAGGCATTTGCCATGAGACAAAGGAGGGAGTAGAATGCCGGAGGCGTCTTTCTGATGGAGTTTAGGAGAGGGAATAGAGGAAAGAAATGGTAGTTTCAGTTCCAGGAGGGCATACCTGAATTCTGTAGTTAGGATTTTCAGCCGGTATTACTGAAATGGTCAGGTTAGGTCTAGGCTGCGACAGCTCCTGTTTTCTGAATGGGGAAGAATATGAAATTACTTGTATTAGCAGCTCTAAAATGTTGAGCATGCTTACATCTTTGGGCTACATTTTATCTGTAAGGAGAGCAGTTTGTTTTGGAAAGTGAAAAGTTAAAATCTCCCGTAATTATGAGGTTTCTTGAGTGTTGTCTCTGTGCTGTGTGAGTCAGCCACATTCCACATTCAAGGCCTTTGGCTCACTGTGTCTTATGAAGGTAGGGGTGGAAATTGGCTTTTTGAGAAATGAATCTTGGTATGTGAGTAGAATCTAAGTAGACACAGAGACAGATGCTTCTATTTCTTTGCTTGATGTTTTCTCTTTTCTAATAATTAAAAGTCTTTTTTATCTATAAGAATATACATATTTTTTTTAAAACTCCAGATATGCCCTTCCTGAATCTTAAGCTCTTCCAAGGATTGTTTTATTGTGACTCTTTTTGCATGTATTTGGATAACCTTTGAATCTAGCAGTTCTCTTACCCTGCTATGCTGCCACTGAATAATGTTTTACATATGAAACTTTCTACTAAACAAGTTGTCAATTACAAAGTCCAGGTCTTTTCCCTAGAGTCTCTGGTTTCATTCTTGGAGACGCAAGCAAGCTTTTTCACTTGCCTATTAATTACCATAAGAAAGTTTATTCATAATCATTTGTTTATTTTTATAATATTCTAAAAAAATGGGCTCAGTGTAGGCAATGTTGTCTTTTCCCACTAGGTTTTCCAGTGTCTGGTTTCTTTATGAAATTCAAGTTTACAAGACTCACTTAGAAATGGCTTTTTGCTCCCTCTCCTTGTTTTAACCTTTATTTTAAGTGTTTTTCTCACATGGGATATAGAATTTTAAGATCTGTTTATTATATTTATTGAGGCATTAAAAATGTAGTAAATGCCATTGGGAGGTTTAGTGAATGGTTTTCATTGAAACGTAGTCACTTAGAATTAGAAATTTGAGAAGAAAGTGGGCTGCAGTGAGTCCAGGTAACCTTTTCATCAATTGTAGCCTTGTAGTAGAGAAGTACATGTGAGATAGTACTCCTTCATTAAAACCTACTTTCAGAAATTTAATATCAGGGTATGTTTTAATTTGAAATATAAGTTCATTACCCAGAGTTCTTTTAATATACAAAGGCTTCATACATCATTTTAAGTCACACATAGATTATTAAATCAAGGTAAATGAATTATCAGCCATATCATTAAACGCGCAGCAAAAACAACAAAAAAAAAAAAAAAAAAAAAAAAACCAACCCAGCTAAATGTACCTTATATTTTTATGACATCATTCCAGAGCTGGACTTTTGGATTATATTTTATGGGGAGAAAGAACAAAGCACTTGGGGTTGTACTGAAGTTGTGAGCTTGGAATATGTTTATTCTTTTCCTTCATTGCCTTTGCTGTCTGAATTATGGGCCTTGCATTTCTGTGTTTATTTTCATTGCATCATTGGTGCTCCCAATGGAAGGGAAGCTTTGTGAACCTAGAGACAGAGCCCCCTGTAGCTCAGGACATTTCCCCTTATAGTGCTTTATCTGTTGTTTGCAGTCACTGAGTGATTGTTGGTGGAACTGCCCAGGATCACACAGGGCAGGGGTGGCAGTACAGCTTAAAGCCCTCAGTGTGAGCCCATAATTAATTATATCAGCTTTGGCCCTTGAGTCACTATGTGCCAAAGATGTGGTTTTTGCCAAAATATTCTTTTTGCATAATCCTTAAGAGGACTGCAATTCAATTGTTATTTTCAAGGTAAGAAAAGCTCCTATGACAAGCAGAGTAATTTTCCTATTTTGAAGTCGGGTTCTTTAAAGTTCTGCGTGTTTTGACAAGTGTTCCTCAAGCATCCCGACATGGCTACTCAGGATGCTTTCTGACCTTCTTCTCCACTCAGATGAGACGGAGAATGTGAGTATTGGAGGTGAGGAGAACCACACATGTCCAATTCTTGCAAGGCACACTCTAGAAATATAATTAATTATTCCCTTAAGCTCATTGGCCCGAGACATCAAATGCAGTGGCTAAAAAGCAAAATTATGACTGGGGTGTTATATTTTGGCATGACTGCAGTAATGACATTTCATGCTGATGATTATCTCAAACCTTCTTTTGCAGTAAACATGAGTACATCAAATAACACTTTCAGCCAGATACCACTGAATACATTTTAAAATTACTAAACTATTTCAATAAAATCATATGCACATGATTAAGAGAATAAATTATACAGAAAGACTTACAGTTAGAAAAAAATACTCCACAATTTCCAGTTCATTATTTGAAGTTTGTCACTTCCATTTTAGATTGTAAAGGAATGATTTATTTCTTGTGTTTTAGCCACTGCAGGATGCTAGCAGGTTCATATGAGGAAATGGTGTAATTCAAGCAAAGTTTTGTCTACTAATGTTAATGGCAATATCGTGTCCTTATGGCATTTTTCTTGTTGTAAAGAGAATTCCGGAACTGAACTACTAAAATAGATTATTTTGCAAAGTTCCTGTTACTGCTATGTTTTATGGTGCCAAACTTAAAGATACACATTTAGTGTCAAAGATAGCTAATATAATCATTCTTATGTGTAGGCCCACCTCCACTCTCTGAGGTAGGTGATGTTATTATCTCCATCTAAAAGATGGAAAAACAGGCCTGGAGTAACAAAAGATCCTTAATCAGCATGTGAAGTTGTGATTTAAACACAGGTGGTCTGGATCCAGGTCTGTTCTGAGCCTCAGCTGTGCTTCTTGAGAACATGCCACATCAGTGATTGAATCAGTGAGCTGAGCTGGAGAAGCTGTGTGAGACCTACCCGACTCCCTCTGTGGTTCTCAGTTGTAAAACCAGTCTACTGTCTTACAGGCTGTAGATGTAATATTTAGCACTTTGATGCTATATCACAAAGCAAGGTTCATATTCATGTCCGTGTGTGTGTGTTTGTGTGTATGAGAGAGAGAGAGAGAGAGAGAGAGAGAGGAGAAGGGTCAGAGACTCACGGAGAAAAGCTCCTATGTAGGCTACAAGTACATCACTAAATGTGTATCTTGGAGGATTTGCTTTAAAATTTCTTCTGTTACCATTATCTGCCATATCTTCATTCTGAGTTCTGTAGCTCAGGTGATGTTCAAGGAACATCAGAGAAAAACATGCAGTGGAGAGTGGCTGTATCCATAACAATTATAAGGGGAGTGCATTGAAGACCATGATTCCCTTGTTAAATATTTTCACTTGGATGCTAAGGTGTGTAAGAGTGACTGCCTTTGCTGTTGTAATCACTAGTTCCTGTTCTTACCAGAAAGAAAGAAGTCAGGACTGACACTGACACCACGTAAGATACTCCTTT